ACCTAGGGCCCTAACACCAATTTATGTCCTGCCAGTGTCACAAATAAGGTATAAAAATATGCTCATCTGACCGTAATTTATTGCCCAAAACCCCTTAGCTTCCGGGGGCTCCGCCCCCGGAACCCCACGCCAATTCGTGACCTGCCAGTGTCACAAATAAGGTATAAAATTATGCTCATCTGACGATGATTTGATGTATAAAAAAACCCTGAGCTTCTGAGGGCTTCACCCCCTGGACACAACACCAATTTGTGTCCTGCCAGTGTCACAAATGAGGTATCAAAATATGCTCATCTGATCGTAATTTATTGCCCAAAACCCCTGAGCTTCCGGGGGCTCCCCCCTGGACCCCACGTCAATTCGTGACCTGCCAGTGTCACAAAAAAGGTATGAAATTATGCTCATCTGACGATAATTTAAGGTATAAAACCCCTGAGCTTCTGGGGGCTCCGCCCTCTGGACCCAAAACAATTTTATGTCCTGCCAGTGTCACAAATACGGTATCAAAATATGCTCATCTGACAGTAATTAAATGCCTATACCCCCTGAGCTTCTGGGGGCTCCACCCCTTGACCCCCGCTGAGAAACGTTCAACGGCGGGGCCTACATGTCTACCCCCCCCCCCCCCCAAAAAAAAAAAAAAAAAAAAAAAAAAGGTGTCACCATTACGTACCAATATTTGGCTCGCATAATTTCAAATGTGGGCCCCCTTAAGAATTAAATCCTGGACCGCGCCTAGTAGTAGTAGTAACAACAGCAGCAGTAGTATAAGTAGTAGTAACAGTAAAGTAGTAGTAATATTATATTATAGAAAGGGGAAAACAAGGATAGTGGAGAGGATATGGAGAAGGAAAAACAAGAAAATACATAAGGAAAGAGAAGAGGATAAGTCAAAGGAAGAACATAGAAATGCATGATTGAAGAGCTAAGAGGATTAAAGATCTAGACTAAGGAAAAACCGTAGGGAATACATATAAAGAAGGAGAAAGGGAATCTATCAGATTAAAACAAAAAAATAGATGACGAAGGAGAAAAGGATAGATTGAAGGAGAAACAAAGAAATACATAAAACAAAAGAGAAAAGGTTAGAATAAAGGAGAACAAAAGAAATACAAAACGAAGGAGAACTGGGGATAGATTGAAGGAAAAACAAAATATAACGAATGAGAAAAAGGATAGATTGAAGAAGAAAAAATACATGACAAAAGAGAAGAGGATAGATTGAAGAAGAACACAAAAATACATAATGAAAGAGAATAGAGGATAGATTTAACCCGACACAAATAACGAGTATACATGTACACACGTACAGATCCAGCAATCCAACTGCTAAGGGTAATACTAGACTTTGTCTCTAGTCGTTTGCACAGTATATTTGACTGAAGTGGCTAAACAGTCGTGTAAAAAAAATATGCGCGGGCTGGTGAGCATAATTATGAGTCTGTTGATAACGCCATCTTCGACGGCTTGGATCAAGTGTGGGGAAATTATAAAGGACCGTGCAGATTCTGGACTACAAGCATCACCGCCTGGCTGCCGCCACTAAAACTTTAAGCATCTCCGTACGGCGACCGCCAGCTGGAAACTTTAAAGTTGCAACTTTAACAACCTATTTTTGGCGGCAGCCTGGCTGAGCCAATTATAGACGTGCCGCCAGGCGGGGGGTGGATGGGCCGATTAAAGATTCCGGGGTAAAAGTCAGATCCCAGCCTGGCGCAAGCCGGCTGGGCTAATAAGTGAAAATTAATTGCCCTAGCCAGGCTTCGGGCGGAATTGCAGCCTCGATCCGCCAATACGTGAGGCGGGAGCCAGCTGGTATCGATATTTTTGACGCCTCGCCTAACCGAGGACCTACATGTCCATTTTGTGTGCAATTAGAGTACCTAAATAGACGTACCCAAACCGGGTTCTCTTACCGCGCTGCGAGGATCACGCCCTCTTTATGTAAACACCCACCCACGCATCCTCACACACTTGCAACACGACATAATTATCCTGATATACAAACATCCATGTCTTTCTTTACCCCACTCTGGCCTCTCTCTCTCTCATTCATCCACACCCACCCACGCACTCCCATCACACCTCGATCAAATTTTTGTGTGAGTTTTCAATTTTGGGTTGCTATAAAGATTTGATGTAAAGAGGAAAGCCTTCTAGTTCTACTACTACTACTACTACTACTACTACTACTACTACTACTACTACAACTACTACTAATACTACTACTACTAACTACTACTACTACTACTACTACTACTACTACTACTATACTACTACTACTACTACTGTACTACTACTACTACTAATAATAATAATAATAATACTACTACTGCCACTAAACTACTTCTACTACTACTATCAATGTAATAACTTTACTACTACTATCTATCACAGGTACATGTTTGGACTTTACCACAGCTATTACATCTACTACTGCAGCTACTACTACAGCTACTACATCTACTACTACAACTACTACTACTACTACTACTACTACTACAACTACTAATACTACTACTACTACTACTAATAATAATAATAATACTAAAGCTACTCCCACTTGTAATAAGTTGACTACTACTACAACAACAACAACTAATACTACTACTATACTACTACTACTACTACTACTACTACTACCACTACTACTATACTACTACTACTACTACTTTACTTCTTCAACTACTGCTACTTCTACTACTACTACTACTACTACTACTACTACTACTACTAATAATAATAATAATAATAATAATACTGCCACTAACTACTTCTACTACTACTACTACTACTACTACTTTACTTCTTCAACTAATGCTACTTCTACTACTACTACTACTACTACTACTACTTTACTTCTTCAACTAATGCTACTTCTACTACTACTAATACTACTACTACTACTACTACTACTACTACTACTACTTATAATAATAATACTACTGCCACTAACTACTTCTACTACTACTACTACTACTACTACTACTAATAATAATAATAATAATAATAATAATAATAATACTGCCACTAACTAATTCTACTACTACTACTACTACTAATAATAATAATAATAATAATAATAATAATAATAATAATAATACTGCCACTAACTACTTCTAGTACTACTATCAATGTAATAACTTTACTACTACTATCTGTCACAGGTACATGTTTGGACTATACAATAGCTATTACATCTACTACTGCATCTACTACTACAGCTACTACTACTACTACTACTATAGCTACTCCCACTTGTAATAATTTGACTACTACTACAACAACAACAACAACGACGAGAAACAAAGAGAAAATCATAACATTTTCTTGCAAGTGGGCCTTTTTTTTTATAGCTTAAGTTGACATTTGAGCTTTTTCTGTAGGAAATTTCACACAATAATGCAACTAGGTTTTTCGGACTGAAATAACAGCGCGTACAAAGGCTTTTCACCTACATTGAATCCTGCGGCCCAAACTTATTGATACAAGGAGATGTCGACGATACCTTTTGTAAAGGCTGCTGCCCAGTCATCCATGGCAGCAGCGTTATGAGTAAGGTTCCATTACACGGAATATGAGTTACTAGCTGTTTAGTACGAATTATAATTCAATGCCATACACGGTTTTTATCTGTAAATGGGAATCAATCTAAGTTGGGTATACGTTTGTCATACGGACTGTATGCGTACATGATAACTTCTAATATAAACAAATCTTAAATCTACATCTTCCCTCCTTTATCCCTACTTTCGCTCTCTCTCTCTCTCTCTCTCTATAAATATATAAATATCTCGCTCTCTCTCTCTCTTTCTCTCTCTCTCTCTCTCTCTATATATATATATCTCTCTCTCGCTCTCTCTCTTTCTCTCTCTTTCTCTCTCTCTTTCTCTCTCTTCATCTCTCTCTCTCTCTCTCTCTCTATATATATATATATATATATATATATATATATATTTCGCTCTCTCTCTCTCTTTCTCTCTCTTTCTCTCTCTCTCTCTCTCTCTCTCTTCATCTCTCTTTCTCTCTTTTGATCAGGCTGCTGTGATTTAAGTCTACTCAAGTGCCTTCCACACCCACAAACACACTCGTATAACATATACGTACACAGATCGACATGCATGCACACTAAATTCATTTCAAACCCACAATCATGCTTCCCAAACACATTTCTTACCTAATTCCTTCTTTTTTTTTAACCTCGATCTCTATCGTTTTCTAAATAGCATGCACAGTCCAGTTCATGCACACTATACTATATATTCCTCTCCCCCTATCACCTTTTCCTATTCACACCCCAGCCCAAACCTGCCATCAGATCAATGTTAGAGTCCTAAGAGTTCATTGGTCATAGAGATTGACCAATAAAGCTCTGAGGAGATATAAAAGATATCCATCAAGAATAAATCATATAGCGAAAATGTTCATGAAAAAGGGGTTATTGTTCTAACGTTAAGGGCAACAGTACGATAATGATAATGATGACATTGATAATGATAATGATAATACGTATAACAATATTACCAATAACAAAATACACCAATAATAATGATAATAATAATGACAAAATTAAAGCCCATTGGGAATTGTAGATCGATCCCCCGTGCACTGCCTCTATTTCTGTGGTATGCATATGAGCCAAAAATGGATAGAACAAATTTAATTGTTTGCCGCTTACACGTGATCTTTGAACGGAGCCGTTATGCAAATTTTCTATGCGACGCTGGAGATACAAAATAACAATAGTAATAACTAATATAATTTGTATATTCATATCGTGTTTGGTGTGCACGCATACACACGACACCAGAAAGAGTTAAGTTTGGTAGGGCGTGACGCGTATAGGCCTATATGCGGGATATAGACCACGTTGACTTGAGTGTAAGCAATCTTGTACTTTACAGTAAATTGGCTGTTTTTCGGCGTTATGATGTCAGTTCATACATGAACCATTGCCAATGATACATGCCAACATTTGACTTGGCGTTGACGTTGAGTGTTTTGTCTTGGAGAATTGGAGAATGATAAACAGAATTGACTTCCCTTCTAAGTTTGATTTGATGTAACGGTGTACACGCACATCAGAATATAAGGTAAGCGTATCGAACAGTATTCCTATACCAATAAGCTTATAACTGTACGTACTGGGGGGAGGGGGGCGGAGGGGTTGTTCAAAAGGGTTTCTCGATGTTATTTTTGTATAATTTTTTTACATTTTGGATTGTGATAAACATTCGATGTAAAGTGAATTTTGTTTTTTCTGTTGCTTTATGTTTTTAATTTTTTTTTTACTGCTTGAGTCACTTTGTTTATATATGTTTGTTTCTTTGTTCAGTGATTTTGATGGGGAGGTGGGGGGGGGGGTGGGGTATCTGAATATGGGTCTGTCCATTTCCGGTTTTTAGAGTGAAACTCGTATCGATTTAATTCAAGTGCCTGAATTCGCAAGACAATTAAGATATCCAATTTTTCTAGGCCACCTTAATTTTGTCATGATATTACAATATTTGTAAGTAAACATGCATGTTAGTTTTCTTTCTTCTAAATGAATATAGGTCGATAAATGATGAATGAAATAACCCAAAATGAATACAAAAACAATTCCGAGAAAAAAAACATGTAGGTTCAAGAGCAATGTCAATAGAAAGCATGTTCGGGTTATTTCAGGAGCTGAAAAAAAGCCTAGTGAATTGGCTGTAAATTGATTTAGCTGAAAGTCATTGCAAAAGTGTCAAACAAGACATCTTCTTTATACAATACTAAGTGATACAAACTAGAGATATCATTGTTATTGCCAACATACTCTTTATTTCATGTGAAATTCACATTGCCTCAGGAATAGATCCATGCCAGTGCACCAACATTTATATAAATATTTTTGAATGATCAATTAAATCGCTGTTGTCTTTCAACATGATCTTCTACAAGCTGAAATCAATTTAATGTCTAGAATGTGAATATACAAAATGAACTGCAACTGTTTGATCTACTGAGTAATGATGACAATAACAATGTCGACTAGGTGCCTACCCTATTCATTTTCAATATATTATATTATGACTACTACTACTACTACTACTACTACTACTATACTACTACTACTACTACTACTACTACTACTACTACTACTACTATACTACGACTACTACTACTACTACTACTCCGACTTCTAAATAGCTATTACCACCACCACTACTACATGTACTTCTACTACTACTACTAATCCTACTACTTATACTACTATTACTACTAATATACTTCTAGAACAACAACAACTACTACTACTACTATTGTTGCTGCTACTGCTACTACTACTACTACTACTTCTACTACTACTACTTCTAACTACTACTACTACTTTAACTGTGACTACTACTACTTTAACTGTGACTACTACAACTACTAACACTGCTACTTCTACTACTTATTCTACTTCTACAACAACTACTACTACTTCTACTACTGGTAGTGATCGGACTACTTCTATATCATATTACTATTACTACTATACAAATGCAAGTATAACTATATTCAGGTACAACTTGTAGCCAATACTACTACAACAGCTACTACTACTACTACTACTCCTACTCCTACTACTACTACTACTACTACGACTACGTATTCCTACCACCACGACTACTTCTTCTACTACTACTTCTGCTGCTATTTATACTACTAATATTACTACTACTAAAATACTACTTTTACTATTATACAAGTAATACTTCTACTATATGTTCCTATTCATTTCTTATGCCAAACAAAACTTACCAGGTAGTTTACGAGAAAAAAAAAACCCCACTAAAAGACACATTTAGTTTGAACTAAATTTCAGGTACTACTATTGAATACTAGTAGTAAAATTACTTCTAATACAATTAAGTACTACTACTAAAACAAAATATTAAAACGTCTATAAGCGCTAGTCTACTACTACTAGTACTGCAGCTACTACTAATAAAACTATATCTACTATATTACTACTACTACTACTACTACGATTACTACTCAGATTTGGTTTGGACGGGGGTGTGCGGCTGAAGAGTCTAAACCAATAACCATTTTTAAGGGCCATCAATTTTTGGGCAAAAAATAGTAACCATTGTTAAGGGTCAGAAAGTTGTACCCAGAAGTTGTAGTGGCATAGGCCAAGTTGTGATCCTTCGCTTATTGCTTAAGCCCCCATCACATCAAAATAGTTCTCACTACGATCTGAAACCGTCCTAGAAAATCGTAAAATGGTTTGTGATCGGGGCCGAATGTGTAAATAAGGTCTATAGTACGATTCTTGTTCGTTCATTCACAGTCCTCAATATGTCCATCTCATCTGTACCCCGTCCATAGTCAGTTCATATCAAGTTCAGATCGGGTAAATTTGCTATTCCAGGCAGTCCAAATCAGTCTTGGAACAGCACTCCCCCCCCCCCCCCCCAACAAAAATGTCCTCTGGCTTACATTTTCTACTTCTTCTTGAAAGCCCATGGCTGGATTCCATCCAAAGTTCTGGCTCAAAATTGTAAGAATCATTTTAATGGCGGTATATGCCCTCCAGGGGGCTTGGGGCAGCCTTCAATATCCACCATCGAGACAGCAATGCCAGCACGGAAAAAATATCCACTACCAGTGCAACTACTAACTAGTTACTCCTACAATAACTGCTACTATCAATTAACTTCTTCTCATACTATTACTACTATAGTTTTTTTTCCAGTCATTGCTTATGAGAAACAAAACATACCAGGTAGTTTTAAAAATAAAACAACGTGTGCTATTCAGAGTGACTATTCTATTTTTCTTGTTATTTATATAGTTGCGCTTTTCAGTTGACAATTTTCCATAAACGTGTTATTGTATAAGTGTGGACTTTACCAATGAATGCAATGTTTAATTAATTAATATAGGCCCCCCCCCCTTCCATTATTCTTCCAGATCGTGGCTTGTTCCTGTGACTGAGTCAATTGATTCGCCAAGATGCCTGTATCACTTAGTGAATGGAGGGTCCGAATCGGAACATTTGTTCATTGGATTAGGGAGTATGAGGTTAAGGAGAGGAGAGAAAGATTGCTGAAAGAAAGGATTCGAAGACTGAAGGTTCTTTGCGAGAGACTTGAAGCGAAAATTGGTGATTCTGGAGAGGAGTCCGAATATGACAAAAGCAGACAAGATGATCCTGATCCCAAGGGATGTCCTCATAAAACTTCAAACATTCGGTCGTCAGGAAACTCATCAGATATCAAGAATTTACTAACTTCATGTGATCAGTGCATACATGATTTATTAACGGCAAGTGATTCTCATATCAAGGAGATACTCACCCCTTCTGATACATGTATTAAACAATTGCTGACACCAAGGAGAGAAATATTACAAAGGATTCGGAGACTGAAGGTTCTTTGCGAGAGACTTGAAGCGAAAATGGGTGATTCTGGAGAGATGTCCAAAGATGACAAAAGGAGACAAGATGACCCTGATCCTAAGGGATGTCCTCATACAACTTCAAACATTCGGCCGTCAGGAAACTCATCAGATATCAAGAATTTACTAAATTCATGTGATCAGTGCACACAGGATTTATTAACAGCAAGTGATTCTCATATCAAGGAGATACTCGCCCCTTCTGATACACGTATTAAACAATTGCTGACACCAACTGATTCGAGCATTAGACATTTGCTCTCTCTAACAGATTTGTGTAGAAAGGACCAGCAAACAGCATGTGACTCTCATGATGAAGATCTTACCATGCTTACACCAAACGATTCAAACATCAGGGAGTTAATTATACATTCTGATTCATGCTTCCGAGAGCTACACATGTCAGCTGATGTTTGTACAGATGATATGCTATCTGATTCTGACGTCAAAGAATTACTAACACCAAGAGACTCCGCCAACTTTGAGCTACTTCAGCCAAAATATGATTGTACGAACAGGTTACTTACACCGAGAGATTCCTACATCCAGACGTCACTACCTAAAGATTCTTGCATCCAGGAGTTACTTACACCTAGAGATTCTTACATCCGGGAGTTATTATCAATAAATTCCCACACCGATGAGTCACTTACACCTGGAGACGGCTTCATCCAGGAAATGTTTACTCCAAGAGATACATACACAGGTGAGTCACTTACAACAGGTGATTTCTACATCCAGGAGTTACTTACACAAAGAGATTCGTACATCCAGGATTTACTAACACCTAGAGATTCCTACACCATTGAACCACATACACAAGGAGACTCCTATATTCAGGAGCTACTTACACCAAGATATACCTACACCAATGGGTCACTTACGCCAGGACATTCCTACACCAATAAGTCACCTACGCTAGGGAACTCCTTCATCCAGGAGTTATTCACACCAAGAGATTCCCACACTAACAAGTTACTGACGCCGACAGATTCCTATGCTAATGAGCTACTTACTACAGGAGACTCGTACATCCATGAGTTACTTACACCAAGAGATTCCTACACCAATAAGTCTCTTATACAGAGACATTCCTTCACCAATACGTCACTTAATCAAGGAGATTCCTACATCCAGGAGTTAATTACACCAATAGATTTCTACACCAACGAGTCACTTACACAAGAAGACTCCTGCACCCAGAACTTTCTTTCACCTAGAGATTTTGACATCCGGGACTTATTGGCACCTAGAGATTCCTACACCATTGAACCATTTACACAAGGAGCCTCCTATATTCAGGAGTTATTCACACCAACCTACGCCGATGAGCTACTTAGACCAGGACATTCCTTCACCAATACGTCACTTACTCCAGGAGACTCCTACATCCACGAGTTATTAGCACCCAGAGATTCCTACACCAACGAGTCACTTACAACAGGACATTCCTACCCCAATAAGTCACCTACGCCAGGGGACTCCTACATCCAGGAGTTACTGACGCCAAGAGATTCCCACACTGTCGAGTTACTGACCGTATCAACAGATTCCTATGCTAATACGCTACTTACACCAGGACATTCCTTCACCAATACGTCACTTTATCCAGGAGACTCCTACATCCACGAGTTATTAGCACCACGAGATTCCTACGCCAACGAGTCACTTACACCAGGAGACTCTTACACCCAGGACTTCCTTACACCTAGAGATTCTGACATCCGAGAGTTATTGACACCAATAGATGTTTATACCAATTTGTCGATTGCACCAGGAGACTCCTACATCCATAAGTTACTAACACCAGGAGATTCCTACACCAATGAGCCACCTAGACCAGGACATTCCTACACCAATAAGTCACTTAGTGGTGTAATTGGACTTGAATCACCTAGGCAAGAGGACAACAAATCTTCACCTACATCTAGCTTACACATGGATGCCATACCACATGGACCCTTTGGTGGAAAGGTAAGCAGGCTTCCTGATCGTGTGTGTCCACTAATTTTGTTTAATAAATGTTTCTTTATCCTTATTGAACTGAAATTGGAGGGAAAAAAAGCAATGTCAATGTGCAGATTTATGTAAAGGCTAATCTAAATCATGGCATATGCTCAGCGACAATTGCTCGTTTGTTAAGTTGAATATTCCAGTCAGTGCCCTACTGCCCTGGTACGAAAGACAAGGAATTTATAACACTAATAAACGTCCTTCAATTTTGATGTCCTAAGAACCAACAGCAAACCCAAACCGTAACTATGTAGCTTTAAAGACATCTAGCAGTGGGCTCCTTTGGGCATTCGACACCATTTGGGTGTTTACCCAATAATAGCTGGGTGTTGTCAATCACCAGGATTAGCCTTTAGTTTTATGACCAACAGGCTTTATGTAATATGCTCTTTCTTTCCCCCGTATGGTAAAGTCCTTATCTGACATTTGCATTACCCGAAGACTCTCCAAAAGACGAGGGGGTATTTCTTGATTTGCCTACGGGTTTGATGTGTGCAAAAGTGTATACCCTTTAAAGGTTTTCCCCACAAAGTCTGGTACAGTGCCAGCGAATCATGACCCTCTGCACACGAAAAGTGACGGTCCACTTCCTGTGTAAAATCTGCACCGGAGCAAATATCTGTTTACAAAAATCGCTCCTCCGATTAACCACCTATCAGCTAATTTAACTGTCTTCCCTTAATAGAAATATGCCCTACTTCATTTGGCCATACAACGATTATAATTCACCAATGCCCTGTAGGCCTACCTATTTTTCATATATTATTGGACTAATTGGAGTTTCTTTTAATTTGCAGGGGATGGCAAGTACATCATCAAGATCAACATCGTCATTCCACAAAACGAATAGCTTGAAAGGAACAGCTGATGTGATGTTATCACAGCAGCCGTACCTGACTGAGTTACTGCTTGTAAAAGCGGGGGATGTGGAGCTCAATCCGGGTCCTCTTCATGGGTAATACAATTTAAATTAAATGAATGAGCACATGAACCATGCACCATGTACAAAACAGAACATGCACCCTCACCTCGCACGCGCAAAACCTTATTATATTTGTATGATATATATATCTCCATTTCGTTGACAATCAGCCATAGAAAGAAAGACTTCATGCATGGCTGGTTGTCAACGAAATGGAGTTAAGTCTGTTGTCAATTCTGCATGTTGTTATGGCAGACACCCAGTGAAAACGAATTCGTTTGATAAAATTATGGAAATGCAATCACTACTTTAAACAAACAGAACTTTGTCATTCCTTGCTCATTTTTCCCGATTGAGGTGTCATATGAAAGGACAGAACCTCAACTTTTTAGAAATGTGATTTTCTCTTTGAAATTCAGATACCGTCCGCCAAATGACATTTTAGTTTCCTCTCTTCAAATTCATTTTAATCACTCATGCGTGAAATATGTATTATATGAGTTGCATCAAATGAAAGAAGTGGATCTAAGCTTTCCAAATATTTAGTAATTATTTAGTTATTTAGTAATTATAAATGTGATTAAGTTATAATAAAACATCGATAATTCTCGGTTTCGTTTTTTCTGGGACGCACTGTTAGCAATGTATAAAGAGTTAACAACATCATACTGGATTCAAGCGAGAAGAGCATGCATGGTTCATGTTAACTTCACAAGCGCTTTTGCTTTATTCTCATCATATGAAGTGATGACGAGAATAAATCGAAAGCACTTGTTAAACACTCCATCTTGTCGGAACCATTCCCTCGTAATATATATATATATATATATTCAAATGTATTATATATATATATATATATATATATATACATATATATATATATTCGAGTGCATGGGATGTGTATGCTTGTGAGAGTATATGTGTGTGTAAGCGAGTTTGTTCTTTTGCCCAGGTGTCTTCAACCTATAAGCCTTTGGTTTCCATGTCGGCCCTCTGCGTTTCAAACTTTTTTTGTTCATGTCTTGTTTTGTTCAGGTGCATTTTTCATTTACAAAAAAATAAATAATCAAATTAATTAATTTCTTGTACGTTATGGAATTGTTGAAAAGTAAATGTCCTGCACATGTCAACACGTAATGTTTTTATGTTCCTTTATGTTTGGAAACGAAAATAATTAATGAAAGTATTAATTTTTTTAAATACATGGAATTTAATCTACTTTTCTCTTCTTCTTTTATTCTTTTAGATCGATAGATAGTTTACTGCAGGAGAGTGAACTGATATTGCTTGCTAAAGAAGTTCCAGGCGACTGCTACGAATACCTGTGCATTGGTCTTGGTTTCAGCTTAGCTCAGAGCCGGAATGTACTGACCCAACATCAATTGAACCTCCCAGGAGCTTTGATCGAATTATTCTGCGGATGGAAAGTCAAGCAGAGAGATGGTATCAATTGTAGAGCACTTCTTGGAGAAATTCTTCAAAACGCTGATATGGGTGCACTTCAGACAAAATTATTAAAAGGTAACTTTGCCATTGTACTTGTAATGTCTTTTCTGTTACATGAATGTCGTCATTTCATGCGTAATCACAAAGGGTACATGATAACGATAAATATTGTGATACACATACAATGGACATTAAGAAAGATAGGAAAACGTGGAAAAAATATTCGGATTAAAAACAGACTTTATCAAATAAAACTAAAATAGGAAAAGTATTATCAGCAGAGAAAATTATTGCTTAGGTGTGCAAATCTTATCCAC